AATATGTTGATCTTACTATGTCCCTGTAAAACCTACCCTCCTATATTCTTTTTTCCATTTTAGTTAATAGAAACACCATTTTCCCAACCACTGATACAAACAATGCTGGAGTTTATTTGACCAATTCCATCCCAATTTTTGTCTCCTGGAATGGGTGGCAAGGGATGTACACTCAGAATTAACCTTTTTGTTTTCTCTACTTTCACTATGGCAATCCAGTTTTTGCTCCTCAACATTTTGTTATCACCTTTCCTTCCTTACACTCTCTGTTCTCAGTACAACAAACAGATGCATTTATATCCTTTCTCATCACACACAATACCTTCTTATATTATTAGGGGTCAAAGCAAAAAGCCTACCATATTCACAGAACATGTCAAAGCCTACTGGTCTTTTTCTGAATTATATCCTGATCTTCTGCCTTATTTTTTCTCTGATACAGCATAATTGGAATTTTTTCTTTTTGAAACAAATGAGAGGCTCCTAACTCCAAGTCTGAGTACTTGTTCTTACATTAAAAAAAATACTCTAACCAATGCTTACCAACCAGTAAGCCTCCCATTATCTCAGTAAGGATCTTCCTCAGTTTCCCATTTAAATTCATTAAACATGACTTTTATGTATCTGAGTTCATCTTACCCAAATTACTGTTCTTTAACATTAGTTATTAAATCACTGCTTTGAATTTCAGCTAGTCACTTACTGTTTGTCCCTCCATCATAAACAGGGGACCATCAAGACAGTAAAAACTTACAAATCTATTTTCCCCTCTGCAGTATTATCACTGCCTATAAGACTGCTTAATAAATATGTGTTAGATAAATTAATGGCATGAAATGGAAGACTTGTGAATCAGAAGATACCAATCAAAACGATGAAAAACAGTGGTAAAAATACTTTATTTAGCTTTATGGGAGTCCCTTGTAAAGGAAATACATAAAATAATTAAAGAGTTATCAGCCTGTTAATTAGCCTGGGTATGGAAATGTTATACAGAATTAGATTGTTAATTTTCGTTATGGAAATTTTATTACTTTAAAATATTTTCATATATTTAATAAATTTTGGAAGTTAAATGAAATCAGTTAAATGAACAGCAATGAGGCCGATTGGGTCTTTAGTTAATGTATTTGCTATCGATGAGATAGGATCTTAAAGTAGGAGAGAAAAAGATGAAAATAAAGATAGTTTAACTGTTACATTCTAAGTGTTGCAGTAAGCATTTATATCACTTTGAAGATAATTCTATTCACATAGTCTCCTCAACACCCTTATAAGGATGTTATCACTATTCTAACATTAGAGATGAGAAAATCAGTCTTAGAGTCCCTAATGTCACTATATTGAGAATTATTAGGCAAGATTGAAACCAATTTTCTACACCTATGTATGTATGCATATATATATATGCAGATTCAGCTTTACTTAAAACAACAGACATATGAATGTCAAGCTCTTTAAATAATTGAATAAAAGAATAAACATAAGTGTCTGTGTGTGGATACTTGCATGCACATGCACAGACTTTTAATATTACACTACCCCTTCCCTTTCATCTCCAAACTCCATAAAAAATTCTTTCTATTAAAATATATCTCTTTAGAAATGAAAGAAATTCTGGTTTTGGATGTTTTTTTTAAAAGATTCATAAATTTCCCTTTTTTTCTTGTTTAAAGTTTAATTGATTCACTGACTTTAAAAAGAGCACAGTGTAGGCCACAACATAGAACTGAGTCAAGCAACTAATTGAAGCCAGGTTCTTGAAGGCTTAAATTACCAGAGCCTTCCTGTCATCCTAAATTAAACTTCCTTATATATTTTTCAAGATTTATAACCTCAGGCCAAAAAGCTGTAAACTGTCCCAGTTTTGGAGTGAATCTCCCAGAAGGAAATGATGTTTCCTGGAAAAGAACCCTGGAAGGCAAACATCCTCAATGGGAAAAGGGCTCCAAGAACAACGTGTGTGGTAGGGGTCACGGAAATCTTTCTAAGGGGCCTCAAAGTGAATGGTTGCTCAGAACATGCAGCCATGGATTTTGCCAATTTAACTTGGGTCCAGTAGTAGCAAGTTCAGCCACACAGAAAGTGGGTATGCTTTTTATTTGCTCCAAACAAATGAAAAGCAGAAAGGAAAATGGCCATCTCTGGAGATCTTTTCCTACATTCTCAGATAACTCTTTAGAAAGAATTATGACTGCTAACATTGCTTCTTCCAACACCAATGTGACTTTATACTTGCACTTTCACATTCTTGTTCTTTCTTTGAACACGTTTTCATTCTGGAAAGCCTAAAGTGTTTATTTCCATGATTTGTGAGCTCTTGGTTATGCACTGATAACTATCCTCAGCTATTTGATAAAAGGTTGAAAGTCTTTTAACCTAAACAAAAATTAAGTGATAAATATTTGAAGAGTAATAAACCACCATGTAATACTTTACCTCCATATACTAGCATCCTAAAACTTAGTATATAACTACATATGAAAGTAAATCATTTTGTAATATTCCCACTAACACATTAGTAGATATTATCGTGAATATTATGCATGTACTTACTGGGTATTGTGGGCCAGTGCCATAATCCTGCATCAATAATGTACTGTTTTAGTAAAATTTAACTTTCCTTTTCCTTTCATTTCAAACAGCACTCTACTTGTCAAAATGTAGCTGATGAAAAGGCAGATAGGAGAAATGTCTTAAATGCCTAAGACATTTACTAATGGAAATTAATGATCTGAGTTTGAAAATTGTAGTATCCCTTTTTACATTATGTACTAGAATAAGAAATAGTATTCCTACAATAAAAAACAACATGTCTTCAAAAATGACATAAAATGGTGTCCATACTTTATATCTGAATTATACTTTAAATATGAAAATAGCCTGAAGTTCATAGCAGCCATATACATCTAGAAAGAATAAAAGAGACATTGCCCCTAAAATCTCATAATTGCCAAGAAATTCCAGACAAGAAGTTGCACATAGCAGGTATAGGAATAGAATGAAGTAAAATCATGGCAAATGGTATTCTTTATTACTTCCAGAGTCAACATGTTTGATACAAAATCATTTTACTCATGTTATTTTTTGGCTACTATTGTTGCCTCTTTTCTACTCAGATGCTTTAACTAAACTCTAGGAAGTGTTATTTCTGGCAGTTTTCAGACTCTAGGTCTCTTTATATTAACTGTTCATATACACGATAAAAAGAATTAATATAGAATGAGGTTTCCTGCTTTCTTCCCCTCTATTATTAAGGAAATCCAAAGAAGTCTCACCAACATGTTTTCTTTCTCATTGTGACTACTCTGACATCACAGGGAGTCAGACAATTTACAGAAAAATATCTCTATTATGATAAATTCATTCCTTGAATTTTATATGTACTAGTTGGGGTGAATTTACATTTTTCACCAGTTTTGTAATTCATGGATTGGTAAAACCCTTAAAAAAAGAATAGAATTTATATTGTATACAGAGAGAAATATTAATTAACAGGAAGAAAGAAACCAGGTTCTTATGAGGATTGGTTGAAAGATTAATAAGAAAGGATTTCTGAACCCAAAAATAAAGATGCTAGCAAGCAGTAAGAAGCATATGAAAATGTTTTCGATTTTTTTTAACTTGTCCTGGGACTTGCCCACAGAACTCTGTGCTCTCTCCTGGCTTTTTCTGCTCTGAATCTTGCTCTCCCATTTGAGGCACACCTAGTTACTGTAAAAATGCTCTAAAAGTTTATGTTTTTTGATACCATTTATCCCTGAGAACAAACTCAAAGCAAGCTGCATTACTGCATTATAAGCATTGCTTCTAATGTGAAGTAACATATTTGCATTTGTGTGATATGTACATACATATGTATATGTAAATATTTAAGATGATGAAGAGTCTATTTTTATCCCTTCTTGTTGCAAGTGTTAATTATCCAATACCCATCGTACAGAAGTACTTTGTCAGTTTACATAAAGCTTGTTAACTTGAATCTCGTTTAATAATCATTTTAATATGTAAATTAGATAGATTACAGTTCTAGTTATTCCAGGCATTGCCTTGAAGGTATTTGGGAGATGTAATTAAATCTACCAAGAGTTGATTTTAAAGTACAGAAGATTATCCTATATAATCTTGGTGAGTTAGAAACAATAATTTGGAAAGTCCTGAAAGCCGACAGGGGCTTCCTTGAGAGGTGAAATTTTACCTGTGTTCAGTAGTTTTGGCTGATCCTTGCTAATGGATTGCCCTTCAGACTTAAGACTTTTCCAGCCTGCCCTCACCTCATGCAGATTTTCCACAATAAGTCTCCCACTTTTTAATCTTTTGGCCCTTCTTGAATGTTTGAATACTTCTACAATTCCAAATTGTGAGGAAACACACACACAGAAAGACTGAAAAAAGTAAGGAAAAAGATAATATTATTTTTCAGCAGCTCACCTCAAAGAAAGGGGGAAATAAGGTGCTATGGTTTGGGGGTCACTTTACCTCAGGCTGTGTTTACATGTTCCAAAAAGCTCAAGGTAAATGAAACAGACATTCATGCACACACACACACACACACACACACACACACACACATGCATACACATGCACACACACACACACACACATCTCCAGATACAAACTTTTATAAAATTTTTGACAGACCTTTACATTTTTAATCATTCAAAAGCATCAACAATTGACAGCTATACAACAGGGGTCCAGGACTCTGACAGACGTTTTAAATACCAAAAAAGAAGCAAAAACAATAGATGGAAGTAGCCACGCCACATTGCTTACACCAAAGACATTTCACATAACTTGTTATAAAACAACCAACAAACATATTTCTCCTCCGGAACTATGGATTGTTACATGTCCAATCCAAAAAAAGGGTAACTATCTGCAATGGCAATAGTCTGTTATACCCCATCATGCAATAAAACTGCATACACATGTGTAACAGACTCATGAAGTTATTTTTTAATCACCTTCTTCAATGCATCCCGACTTCTCTTCCTTACCTGGACTGCATATCTTGCTGGCTTTTGGCCTGACTGGCTTCTGATGGTGGGGACGTGTGAGTCACACGCTGCTGAAGCTCCACCAGAGACTGGTAATACTGGTGTTGATGATGCTGTTGCTGCTTGTAGCGGGACAAGCTGAAAAACAGTCCTAGGATGGCTTTTAGGTTTCCATTTCTTATTTCTGTATCAAATGGAACATACAACAAAACATCCTATCAAGTGAACGCATTAAAAAAATCAGTAAAATTCCAGATCCCATCTTCTCACACTAAATTGATAGACACTAAATGTTCTACATCCCCTTCTGGAATTTAGAAGCACAAATTAGCTGGGCTTCTTATGCTCCATGAGGTCACACAGCAAAACAGGACAATAAGCCAGTAAGATACGGCTCTCTGCTGCTCTTTTCCCTTCTTCCCTTCTTTTCTTTCCATAATAGTACTGATCAATGAGCCCACAATGAGAACATAGTTTTTCCCTACAAACTAGAATAACTGTCTTTAAATAGATTTTTTTTAATTTTATGTTTATGTATACTTATTTTATGTTTATATATAGGCATATTTAATTGAATTTAGACCACTATTTCTGAATATTCATATATTTTAATAAAGAAGCAAAAATCAGCAGGCTTATAATGACTTAAAGTTATCATGTGAGAAAGAAGAGTCAAAATGAACAATGGAAGCATTTCTAGCCTCTGTTTAACCACTTAGAAAACAAACTTTATTCTAGGTAATAGAACTACCACGTAGGTCCGAATCTTTGCTTTTTGGCCACTAAATGTGCAGTTTAATTATATAACCTATTTCTTGAATATAAAAGAAGCCAAAAATAAGGGAAAATAAGATAAATGAAGGAAAGTAAACAATTATTTTTCATGTCTATTATACTTCAAAGTCTATTATATTTCAGAGTCACATGATTCCTTATTCCAATTGCTTGAAAATGATCAAGCAATAGACAGATGAGGGGAAAGGTTATGGGCCAGGACAGATGGTAAGGGCAGGAAACAGAAACATCATTCAATTTTTATGAAAATTGTGTCTCAAGTTTGTTAAGATTAGAAAATTTTCTCATCTTTATATATGAAGGTAAAGTAGCTCTAAAAAAAAGAACACCTAAAGAAATGTCATCTATATCTGCTTTGTTATGTTTTGACATTAGTGATAACGCTCCAAAACTTTCATGATCCTTCAAACATTTCATGATTTAAAAACTATTAATACTGTTGCTCTCATTTTTAAGAACTTAAATTTGGCTTCAACCTTCCAATATTTTGACTTCCATTACTAACTTGGTTATATTATAGTAAGATTATTATTGTAAAATACTACTGAACATGAATTATATTCTTTTACCTATAATTATGCCCACAGATTATCCAGCATTAACATAATCATCTTTCCATCTATTTAAGAACCTAAAAGCATTCGACACCATTAGTATCACATAAATGCTAATGATTCACCCACATGACATATTTTCTGTTGCATACTGAAGAGTTCTGCAAAACACAGAAAATACTTCAGGAAATAAAGCTTACACCAATGTCCATTATGATCACATTTCTATTATTGGAAAGCTAATATTCCAACCTAACATTTTTATCATTACTAACAATTCTTCATAAGTAATGATGCCCATTCATAACTATAATAGTTTATCTTACCTTCAGCAGATAGACCTTGAACATTTACCCCTCTGGCTGCTAGAAAACTTAGGCAGACATCAACATTTTCAATCTGCAACATGAAAAGCAGCGAAAAGGCAACTTAGAGGGTTAAAATAAATACATGAGCAAGAATGAAGCCAGAAAGAAAGATAAAGAATGAATACTTTACATTCATGCCATTCTAGAGGTCTTTCTCAGATTTTAACTAGAATTATCCTGGCTAATTACAGAGTGGATATAAAGCTTTCATTGTCCAGTTTGGTACTTAGAAACAATTCATAAAGGCCTGATCAAGAATGACATTCTTGCAATGTAGTGACCCACCTACTTAACATAAAACCAGATTTCTGTGCTTTACAAGTTATTCTCCATGAAAATATCCCTATGAAATGAGATTGTTGCTTGTATATGCCCTGGAATGTTTTAAGATGTAGATAAGTGAAATTCAACTGTTACATGTTCCCAAAGCTGGATATGATGGACAAGGGAAGATATATGAAGGAAATGATCTACATTTTCTTTCTAAACTGTAACAAATTTTTATTTTAGAAGTTGTATTTTATTTTTACTGTGAGTACTACTACTCTGATAAAGTAGAGGTATTGTCTGTCATACAATAAATGAGTAATGTTGATAACTTGTACATGGTTTCAATATCACAACCAGTTGGTATCCATTTAAAGTGAGAAATAAAACTCTAAAACAGTGATTTTATAGTAAGCCAGTGTGTGATCTCAACATTGATCACAGGATTAGATTTCAGAAGAGTGTAAAAACCTAGAAAATTCTAGTTCTTTGGAAAATTTTAAGAGGAAATGTAAGGTTATATTTATTTCTGCCTTCTTACATTGCATGAAAAGCAACCCTCTAGCACATACACACATATTCTCTACTAATGTTTCCTCTGCTAAGTTTCTTTTTTAAAATATTTTTATTGTGAGAATACCATACAGAGAATACCATACAATTACATGGACAAGATAACGAGTACATTTCTTATCAAGCATTGTTGCCTCCTCATTGTCCTCTGCTAAGTTTCAAAACAAGGTCGAACTGTCTTGAAATCAATAACAAAAGATAGATTCAAGTATCTATCCTTCAAATGGAGAAAGGAATAGTGAGTGAATAAAATCATAATATAAAATGTGCATTTGTGAAAATAGAAATAGGTAACTTGAAGGGTGGGTGAGTTGGGAATGGAGAGTAGGGAAACTGAGGATGACACTGATCAAAAAAGGTCATACAGAACTGAAACTCCTTTGTACAACTAAAGAATAATTTTTAAGTTAATATAGAGGATGAAATGTGTAGAATTGGACTTTTTCTGTCTTTTTAAAAGGTGTTGGTACATCAGGGATTGAGTTACTGCCTCTCAAGTAGTCTAACACAGCTAAGTTTTTTCTCTAGCATTGAATAGCATTCATATTTTCATCAAGTACCAGATAAAGCTGTTGGCAGGCAATTCATTAAGTGTAAAAATAGTTTCATAAAAGTGAATCTCTCCCATTTTCATGATGTTGATCCTTCCAATCCAGTGTAATCCTAGCTACTCAGGAAGCTGAGATCGGAGGATCGCAGTTCAAAGCCAGCCCAGGCAAGGGAAGTCTGTGAGACTCTTATCTACAATTAACCACCAGAGAACAGGAAGTGGCACTATGGCTCAAGTGGTAGAGCACTAGCCTTGAGCTGAGACAGCACTCAGATCCAGAGTTCAAGCCCCACGACCGACAAAATAAGAAAAAAGTATCTCTTCAATGAGATTTAAATCTAATGATAAATAATAACTTCAATAAAATGTATACTTTCATAACCACAATTAATAAGTAGAAATACTAGAAATATTCACATTTGGAAGGATACTCAGGAACTTAGAGCAAGAGAGGAAATAGCAGAGATCAGACTCATGCTGTGCTCATGCCATGTGTAATGCTCATGCTGGTCTATGTTACTCAGTAGAAAAAAATGATAAACTTGACAAGCTAGGGATTTCCTTATACTAGTTTATTTTGGTTTGGCTTGTTACTGAATCTGTATGCATAACTTTGGATAGCACGTTGTATCTTAATAAGTGAGATAATATTCCAGTAACAATTTGGAAAATAAAACATATGTTCTTTTTATTTTTTCCCTTAAAACAGATAAAATACATTCTTTCATAAATGTCACTGTGTGCAAAATTAAATGATAATATCCAATGAGATATTACTTGTTCAGAAATGTCAAGGTATATATGTTTGCTTTGAGGAAAAAATGATTTTATATTGACTTATCTTCGAAATGAGTTCTACTAAAATTATTCTACTGGAAAAAAAAAGCATCATCAATATCAAAAAGGAACGGATACTATCTGATCACTCTTAATGTTCTGACACCAGTAGCTGAATTGCCAGTGAATATATAGTGCTGAGATTCCTATGAAATCCTTTCTTTTCTCCACAGTTCACTTTCCTACTAGGAAATGAGATTACATAAGGGAATAAAGAAAATAAGAAATACAGAAAAGAAAGTAAAGAAAATAAGAAGCTGTCAAAATGGATGTTTAAATATATCCATCCAAAGTATTCTTTTGTTTCTTTCAACCCTATTAAAAATAAAATACCTAATAATTAATATAGTCTAAAGCTAAGAAAAACCAAATGATTAGATATTTTTAATATTCTGCAAAGAAGTCTTGATGCTAATATATCTGTAGCAATTTATATACCTTTAAGAGAATGTAAGAATATATCAGACACCACATAATTTGCTGAAAAATGTCAATAGGTTATTATTACCTACATTTTAGTAAATATATAATCCAAAGGCAGTTCTTTAGGGGATCTGGGGACAGATTAATATATAGTCTAAGTTTGTAAAGTAGACTATTTCATCTACCATTTTATCAACTTAGAAATCAGACTCCTAGTCTAAGTCTAAACTGTATTTTAAAGACAAACTGATACCCAGAGCTCTCATAATAATAACCTAATAACGCCAGATTAAAAAGGATGTATTAGGGGCTGGGAAGGTGGCTCAGTGGTAGTGCGCTTGCCTTGCATGCCTGAGGCCCTGGGTTCGATTCCTCAGTACAACATAAGCAAAAAGAAAAAAGCCGGAAGTGGCGCTGTGGCTCAAGTGGTAGAGCGCTAGCCTTGAGCTGAAGAGCTGAGGGACAGCGCCCAGGCCCAGAGTTCAGGCCCCACAACTGGACCCAAAAAATAAAAATAAAAAAGGATGTATTATATGAGGCCTAATTTAAGTGAAGTTCAAGATAAGCAAGTGAAACAAATAAAAACAGAAAATACACTAGTTGGAATAGCCTTTGTCTTTGTCTGAGCAGACAGTAATGGGTATATATCCAGATGTATAGATAGACAATCATTTAAAAACAAGATGCTCAGTTTACATTCATATCAATTAAGTTAATATGTCAGTTGATAGAAGCCAGTTTCTAAATGTTTGACAAATCTTTGGGTTATTGGAAGCCTTGTACTCAATCTATATGCTTAAAAGGAAGCATTTGCATACAATTTCAATTTATTTCTATATGGATGTGGGAAATTACATTGCTTTGACAATAGAGATGCACTATCTTTTGCTTATTTGCACCACAAAGTTATGTAATTCACGCATTTTGCATTTTACCTCTGTGGCATTGAAATGCCTATCTTCTTGTGCAGCAGAAATACAAAGAACTTCATCTAAGGTCAGTTGGCAACATTTTCCTCATATGAAGTTCAGAGTCACATCTTAAACTTGTGGACAGCTGCTCTCAAACACTTTTACTTATTTCTTCTTTTTGGCTTAATTTTTATTGACCTATTTCCCATCTCTTTTGTCATATTGTATTTAATTATGGCTAGATAACTATGAAAATACTAATGATATGAGAACATAAAATTTATCTAAGTTATGGACATATTAAATATTCTTAAAAGTAGCAAATGTAGGGATATATATATATCAATTAAATGTAGTCATATATACATATATATTACATACATATATATTTGAATCGAGCTTAAATGCTATTATAAATCTCTTAACAAAAACACTGTTTTTGAAAAGTCTTTCTGAAAACAGACTGCTACATTCTTTACTGAAAAAATTAAACATATTAATTAGATGTTGATCTCTAATTATAGATCTGATTAGTTTCCATACGTGTAATTAATATCAGCATCTTGAAACACTACCAATTAATCTTATATTTTATAAAATCCAATCATTTATTCATTCATTGATCATTTATTGAACTGTTTTATGTTCAAGGCAAAACCACTACACTCATACATTTTAATCAACAGTGATTATTACTTCAATTTCTACTATGAAAAATGGGGACCTAAGTTTGGAAAAAACTACACATTTCTGTTATAACTCTATATTTATTGTGCCTCTTATGAATATGCTAAATATCAGTGGGTCTGATTGCTAATCACAAACTGACTTTCTATTGAGGAAGAAGGGCTTACCCATTTTTCACTTCTGAAAAACTCAAGGCAGTCATTAATATATTTATCTCTTCAATGTAAAACAAAATGTAGTTGTGCTGGTAGCTTCAGTATGGCCTTGTTTGTGATCATTTTGGTAAATGCCCAAAGTGGGATTGCTGGGTCATAGGGAAGCTCTATGAGTAGTGTTTTGAGGAACCTCCATACTACTTTCCAAAGTGGTTGAACAAGTTTACACTCCCATCAACAGTGCAGTGGGGTTCAATCGAGTCCATACTACTAAAGCTACCCACACAATTATGTTTATTGCAGCATTATTCACCATAGCTAAGATATGGAACCAACCCAGATGCTCCTCAGTAGATGAATGGATCAAGAAAATTAAATTCTATGCCTCCATCAGAAATAATGACACTGTCCCATTTGTTTGGAAATGGAAAATCTTGGAAATTCATTATATTAAATGAAGTAAGCCAGGCCCATAGGTCCGTGGTTTCTCTTATCTGCAATAACTATTATATGTCTAGGACAAGCCGAAAAGGTCAAAAACTATGTACATATGATAGGGACACAGAAGTTTTATCTTTTGTTGTTGTTATTTGTAATGCACTTATAATGTACTATGTGATTTTTTTCT